GTTCACAGCAAAACTGAGTGGGACAGAGATTTCTCATTAATGTCACCTCTGTCCTTGTATTTTATTTAAACTGTTCCATGCATGTTATTCACATGGTGAATAACAATCACAAAGGAGCACAGAGGGATGCTGAAGGAGCAGGGCTCCAAATCCAGGGCTGGATTCTGTCCAGTACTAACATGGCATCCTACAAGACAAGAGAAGGGAATAGGTCCATGCTGTGACAGCCAGGACAGAATTTCAGCAAATTTTTCTCTTTCTTCTGGCTCACAGTGGCCTTGGGGCTATTTTCTCTGTCTCCTGAGTAATGGAGCACAGAGAAGTCTCAGAAGGCTCATAAGAAAGATGAAGAGAAATAAGAGGGTGGAAGGAGGGAAGGTGTTTGAGAAAATAAAATCTTCTGCCAACCCAGAAAATCCTATTTGCCAACGTAGAAAAGAAAGAAAAGTTTTATTATTGAATAACATTGAACCAGACTGTGAAGCACATCATAGGAAATCTGCTAATGAGTTTCTAAAAACAGAAAGAAATCTCATGTTTTATATAGTTGAGCTTTTACCAAACCCAAATCCACTCGCCTACCTCAAACAAAAACCTTGGCTTGGCTCACCAAAATCTTTTACAGAACCAAAATCTTTTACAGGACCCATTTGGTCCTGGGTGAGGCTTGCCAAAATCTTGTTTCTGAACCCAAGTCCAACTGCCTGCCCCAAACAAAAACAAACAAAAGTCAAATTGTTGATAGAACAGGAAGTCAGCTTTTATTTAGGAATACTTGTGACCTGAGGAGAGAGGTTAGGCTAACCCATTTCTCTGGTAAACCTAAAGGAGAACTGCTAGACTAAAGCCATCTCAAAGACTCAGATTCACTGAGGGTTTTTAAAGAGGGGGCTGAGGGAATGGAATGTGGAAAGTGAAAGCAGGAGGGAGGGGGATGTGAGCTGTGGGAGCTCTGTGCAGGGAGCCAGGTGCAAGGTCTCATCAACACTCCATCTGGTTTCTATTCCCATCCTTGATGTTATCTTAGGGTCCTGCTTTGGGTGGAATCAGCATAGCTTTGTTGATGTCTTCCTTAGTTTCTCAGGGTCTGGATAGCACATGTCCCTTGGCAAGTCTGCAGCTCCAGGCTGACTGGTAAACAACCTTACATTTATGTAAATAATGTCATCTTGCCCCATTACCAAGGTTAAAAATATCAAATAACCATGGGAAGGGAGGGAACTCAGAGAAATACATGCTAAGAAAAAAACTGTGTCCCTTTAAAAAAGTTTTTTCCCCACAGCCCAGGCAGGTTTTAGGTCTCGACATGGCTTCAGTCCTGTTCACTCCAACAGAGCAGTTACAAACGTTCTCAAGATTAATGGTAATTTGTCCTCTTGTAAGAGGATGTGACATTGTTTGCTGTACAATTTCCCCTGGTTCATCCTAAATTCACCTGGTAATTGGGGTGCTTTCTGTGCTAGTTAATTGCCTTTATCAGAGAAAAAAAAAAAAAATAAAAGTTCTCCAATCTCTATGAAAAACAGGTAGTTACAGTTTGGAGGTAGGCACCTAAGCTAAACTCCCACGATGACAGGGAGGTAGGGGCACTATTTTCCTTAATGTTTACATTTCAAAGAGATGGACCAGGCTGTAAAGCTGGCAAGATGCTTATTCAGCCAGCCTACTTATTCAAGCAGATCCAAGGGGCACATGATTTACAAATAGGTTTCCCGTGAAAATACTCTAAGGGAAGGAGGACAAAGCTTATTTCCCTTTTGGCAACAGGGAACATTTAATTTAATTTACCCGTATGATTTAAACGCTCTTCCCATGCGGTGAAGGCCTGCTTTGTAGAACCCAATTGGTGGAGCGCAGTTCTTAATCAGGATCTTAGCTAAAAGGCCAGAGAGCCAGATTCCAGTCCGAGTGAGGCTTCCATCCTCCAGGAACTGGACGGGAGTTTGCCACTAACTTTGAGGACTTCGACAAGAGGAAGATGACTAGAGGGCACCAAAGAAGCGCGCTGGAGTTGAGGGCTCAACTGAGACGTGGGACACCGTTTTGCCCAGTCTGTCTCCCCCTCAGGTAAAATGGGGAAGGCCAAAGGCGGGCGCGGGCAGCACGCAGTCGACCTTAGGCGGTGCTCATGTAAGGTGCGGTGTGCGTTTTGGATCCTTAACCGAGGGACTTTAGCTCGGCAGTGGTAGGAAAATCTCAAACAGAAAAACAACTGATGGCCGGAAGTGCCCTCGCCACGAACCCCCCCCCCCGGATCCGGAAGGGCCTGCGGAAGCTGCCGCAGAGGCCTCTGGGGAGTGTAGTCTTTCTGGGGAATGAGCCCAGGGGACAGAGACTTCTCTCGGGAGGCAGTACCGGTTTTCAGCATGGGTATTTGAAAAGCCAGGGAGACTGTCGCTACACTGGCTACCGCCCTGGTAAATTAACCGCTGCCCCGCCCAGAAGCGGCTCCGTGGGGGCCGATGGGAGCCGGAGCCCGCGAGGGGTCTGGGAGCTATTGTCATGGCGTAGGGCAGCGCCGAAGGCTGCGTGGGTCTGTCCTGCCGGCTCTGGTAGGCGAGGTTTGCGGGGGTCCTTGGCCAGGAGCCTCTGAGTTGACGGGCGCTACGTGGACCTTCCTAACTCTTCTGGGGCGATAGTGACCTGCAACTCGAATTTCTTTTTTGAAGGGGGTGGGGCGGCTCCGGTTGAGCATCCCTGGGATTTATTTGGGCAGTGGGGATGAGTCCAGTCAGGGCCAAATAGGCAAATGTGCCCTGTGCGGGGTTGGTGACGCGGCTAAGGCCGTATGTCCTTGGGTGTTTTCTGTTGACAGAGCATTTATTTGGGTCCTGCCTCTCTGAACTGTGGGAACCCAGGGCTGATCGCGAGTGCCAGGGTTTTTGTTTTTGTTTTTGTGGCGCTGGATATGTTCCTGTGAGGAAAGTGGAATACTTTGGTCAGGCCCCCTGCCTCCGGTCTGGTTGGGGGTGGTGCAGCACATTCTTTGTAAACAAGTTGTATGGGAGTAGAGTTAGTGCGCATGCAGGGGCCGGTGTTTTTTTTTTTTTTCCTTTTTTTTGTCTTTTTTCGTGTCCGGCAATGGATCGCAACCCTCAGTGAGGCACCCGTACCGGACCGGACCGGCAACGGGATCGCAACCCTCGGTGTTGCGCCCGCACTGTAGCAGTGTGCCACCGGGCTGGCCCCGGGCGGTGTATTTTTAGCTTGTTGCTATTCTTGTGTACTCTTGAGAATGTGTGAAGCAGAGGCTCTGAAGGGCTGGTCCGAAGAGCTCGGGTCTAGAAATAAAGCCTATTATTTCTTCACCCACAGCCTCAAGGACCTTTTTCCTGTTACCTAGCTCCTAGCCCTGAGTGTGAGGGTTTGTGAATGGACTTGAGGGGTCTGTGAGACCTAGCCCTAGTTCTACAGTCCCAAGTGGCAATTGGGTGGGACTGGGATGGAGCAGGTCTCAGGCCTTGATGTGCCTTGGTTTGTTGGGTGGAGGGGTGGGGGAAAGTGAGCCTGAAGTGTTCAAAATATCCTCAGGGGGTCTTGGGGGAGTGTCCTAGGTCTGGAGCCCCTGGGATTTTTAGGGTGTGGGTGAGGTTTTGTCTTCTACCCTGGCCTGCATCTAGGCAGTTTTTGAATGGGGTCAGGTCTGTTCTCTGGGACCTGTTGTCCTAGGGTTTGCCGTGTAGCAGGTGCCTTCTCTGCTCTGTCGCAAAGATCCCGGATTTAGTTGAAATGTGGGTGGCCAGTTGGCTGATTCTCCCTTTCCTTGTCTGCTTTCCCCTCATATGTTGGGCTAACCTCTGGTTTGGGGCTGTAAGGGAGTTAGGTAGGGCGGGCTGCTGGTTGACAATCCAAACTACTTCTGGCATCTAGTGGGGCCCAGGTATCAGGACTTTAATTTTATTTTTAACTTTTTGGTAAGGACAAATTTTAAACCTAACCAGTAGAATTGTAAAGTGAACCCCCATGGATCTGTCACCAGATTCAACATTTGTTAAGTCTTTGCTAGTCTTGTTTGATCTACGTTCTCTTAGTCTATGTTTGGATACACTTTGAGAATTGTAAGACCCCACAGGGATTGGTCTCTACTGACATTACCATTGACACAACTGGCTAAGGGTGTGGCACTCCATAGCTAGAATTCAAGTCTAGGGAATTTTTAGCTTTGTCTATTTGAGCAAGATATATAACTGTGCCTCAGTTTATCACAAGACCTAACTAACAGAGCTTTTGGAAGGTAAAACTTGTACAGTACCTGAAATTGTCTCTGGCATATGGTAAGAGTTTAGTAATGTCTAACTATTACTAATAATATCAACAACTTGAGGCCCATCGACTTTAAAAGGGTGAATATGACATAGCAGCATGTCAGGGCAGGCTGTATTCTGATGCCCACACCTGGCTCTGTCCCTGAGATGCTGTTTACATTCTTTTCTTCTCTGGCAGATCTGAGGCTTTTTTTTTTTTTTTTTTTTGTTTCCCCCGTAAAGGAATAAGATGCCCTTCATTTTAAACTTAAGGATTTCTAGCCTGTAATCTGGGGACCAGGAGACAATCCTGAGGCTCACATTGCCTGTTTGATCTTCAGGTCCACCTTCTCAGATCCCTGCCTGTCAGGAGAGGACAGTCTGTAGAAAAAGAGAGGACTTTGGGCTTCTGACAACCTACTTTCAGGTAGGCACCACCCACCTTTCACATTCCTTTAGTGTCTTTTGTAAACATGGCCCCAAACCATGGGCAAATTTCCTTTGCTCATCCTGACATCTTGTGCCTTGCAGTGTCCCATTTGAGGCTCAATGCCCTCACTGTTTTCCCAGGATACAACGGTTGTTGTAAGGGCAAGGGCCTGGCCTGGACAGGGAATATTAATCCAGACTGGTGCTCTCATTCAGGTCACTGCCATCCTTGCCCCAGGGTGGCTGCTGGATTCCAAGATCGTGTCAACTGCTATGAAATAAAAAGTGTTGGTAATTACCATTTATCAGGTGGTGGTTCTGTGCCAGACACTGGGCTTTGTAGTCCTCACAATATTTTAGTCCCTCAACAATTTGAAAGTTAGGAAACAAAATTCCCATTTTACAGAATGTATTAGTCCATTTCTGTTGCTTATAATGACATACACGGAACAGGGTATTTTATAAAGAAAACAAAATTTATTGCTTACGGTTTCAGAGGCTAGGAAGTCCAAAGTCCAGAGCATGCATCTGGTGATGCAGGGTATCATTTTATGAAATGGCAGAGCAGAGAGAACGAGAGAGCTTCTCATTCACTCTCTTTTTAAAGTCTTCAGAACCCCTCCCCTGACCACCATTTTTAATCCATTCCCTGCGGCATGGTCCTACAATCCAGTCACCTCTTCAAGGCTCTACCTTTCAATTTCCATAATAGGATTTCCCATCTTCTTTCAGTGACAGTGGGGGCCAAGTTTCTCATACAATTCAAGCGTCAAAGAATTTGGGGGGGACATTCAATCCACTACACAGAAGAAGTGCCATGTTACAGAGGTAAAGAAACTTTTAACTATGTAACATCTGTGGGTCAGGTGGGGTCAGGATTTAGAGCTTCTTCAGTTACCAACATTCTACAAGTTTTGTTTCATACAAAACCTCTTATCCCTTCATTTTTTCCTTTTTTTTGCTGCTAGAGTATTTGGAAGGAAATCCCAGCCTTTTACCTATAAATACCATCATATGCAGAGAAGGACTGTTTTATAAAAATATAACCATAATACTGTTATTATACTCAACAAAATTAACAGTAATTCCTTAATGTCTTAATTCACAGTTTTAAAAAAACTTTTCCCATTTGTCCTAAGAAAATGTCATTTTATGGTTCAGACTCCACACTCTTAACAATTCAGGTAAGAAGCCTGAGAGGAAGAAGAATCTGGAATTCAGCAAGGTGAAGTTTCCCTCTCCCTTCCTTTTCTCGTTACCTATTGTTGATCTCTGTTAATGACTGCATCTTCCACCCCCGGTCATAAACAGGAGCTAGAGTCCTTCTTGCTACCTTGTTCTTTGTGAAATTCCCATCCATCTGATTAGCTATTGAGTCCTCATAATTCAACCTTGTCATGTGCCTTGATTCCCCTCACTCCTGCCCCCATCTTCACTGCTGTGGTATCCAGATTTCCATCTCACCTCCACATTCTAGTTTATCCTCCACCCTGCTTTTTAAGTTATTCTTCTGAAGGAAAAATAATGATTATGTCACTTATCTGCTCAAATGGGCCATTTCTTCATCTCTGAAATGGAGGGACAGAAAAATACAACGAAAGGGCCATTTCTTATTGCCTGCCTCTGACACTCTCCAAATTCAATAATTAAAGAGTGTGGGCTCTGGAGACATTCTACATGGGTTCAAAGCTTGACTTTACCACATATTAGCTGTGTAACCTTGGGAATGTTATTTTACTCCCTGTGCCTTCCTTTTCTCATCTGTAAAGTGGGGAAAATAATAGTGCCCATTTCATGGAATTATTGTAAGGAAAATGTGATAATTCTTTTAAGGTAGTAGTAGTGTCTGGTACATAGTATGTGCTCACTGAATATTGGCTATGGTTGTTAATATTGTTATCTGATTAATCCCTCAACCCACTTTTTTCAATCATACCCCTACCATTTATTCCCTTTGGCCCTTTATAGCCAAGAGGGATTATATTCCATTCTGTGCTGTTTTATTCCTCTGTGCTTTTCTGCTTGGCAATTGAACTCCTGTTGATTTAGTCACCCATTTACCACCATTGCAAAGCATGCTTGGATTTTCTCAGGCAAAGTTATCCCCACCTACTTTTTTAGCACCAAATCACTTTATACATGAGTATTTTGTCTTTCTTGCTGGACCATGAGCTGGCTTTTTAAGGATCAGGGACCTCTTGCTCATCTTGGGTCACTGACACAGTGCCTGACACCTGACAGGTCTGAAAAGTGTTTGACCATGAAGACCTGAGCAGCCCTGTTTTCTGGCTGGAGGAGCCATCTGGATCCCCTTACTGGCCAGCTGCCACAAAAAAAAAGAAACCTCTTTCTTTCATAGTTACAGAATTTGTGTCCTGTTTAAGAATTCTTTGCCTGCCCCAAAGTCATGATGATATTCTGTCATGATTTTTTTTTCTAGAAGTTTAAATTTTTAGCTTTTACATTTAGGTTTATGACCCATCTTGTGTTAGTTTTTGTGTATGGTTTCAGGCTTTGAGGTTTGGGATAATACTACTTGCATCACGTTAGTTAAAAAGACTCTTCTTGGCTGGCCAGTTAGCTCACTTGGTTAGAGCATGGTGCTGATAACAACAGGGTCAATGATTCTGGTTCCCTTACTGGCCAGCTGCCAAAATTTTTTAAAAAAGGACTCTCCTTTTACCATTGTATTACCATTGTATTACTTTGGTGCCTTTGTTGAAAATCCATGGACCATATGTGTGGGTCTGTTTACGGACAGTCTGTTCTCTTCCATTAATCTATTTGTTCATTCTTGAATCAACAACACATTGTCTTAACTGCAGCTTTATATTGTCTTGAAATCATGTACTCTGAGTCCTCCAGCTTTATCCTTTTTCAAGGTTGTTTTGGCTATTCAAGGTCCTTTTCATTTCCATTTTTTTTTTTTTTTTAATCAGATAGCTTCTTTCTCCAAAGTCATTCTTCTGGGATTTTATTGGGATCACATTGGATCTATAGGTCAATTTGAGTAGAATCAACACCTCAAGAATGTTGGTTTTTCTAACCCAAAGTTGGTATCTCTCTCTGTTTATTTAGGTCTTTACTTTCTCTTAAGTAAATATTTTGTGGTTCCAAGTGTAGAATGTTTATACATCACTCTTTAAACTTATTCCTGTGCATTTTATGTTTCTTGATGCTTTTAGAAATGTTTTTTTAAATTTTAAATTCCTATTTATTTATGACTAGTATTTAAAAATACAGTTGAGGGGCCGGCCCGGTGGCGCACTGCTACAGTGCGCTGCTTGGGAGTGCGGCAGCGCTCCCGCCAAGGGTTCGGATCCCACATACAGACCGGTTCCCGCTCACTGGCTGAGCGAGGTGTGGGCGCAACACCGAGGGTTGCGATCCCGTTGCCGGTCCTGGTCCGGTACGGGCGCGACACTGAGGGTTGCGATCCGTTGCCGGACACGAAAAAAAGACAAAAAGGAAAAAAAAAAAATACAGTTGAGGGCCGGTCCGGTGGCGCACTCGGTAGAGTGCGGTGCTTGGGAGTGTGGGGGCGCTCCCGCCGAGGGTTTGGATCCCACATAGAGACCGGTCCGCTTGCTGGTTGAGTGCGCTGCGGGCGCGACACCGAGGGTTGCGATCCCGTTGCCGGTCGCGGTACGGGCGCGACACTGAGGGTTGCGATCCCGTTACCGGTCACGAAAAAAGACAAAAAAGGAAAAAAAAAAAAAACAAAAACC